AAAAAAGAACTTAAATAAAGAAATCAAAATTTAAAATAAAAAACTTATATGTTATACGAAGTTGAATACATAAATATCATATTTAAAATATTGTTGAAATTAAAATGTAAATATAAAATATTATAAAGTAGGTGACTTTAATAAAACGGTTTACTAGATTGTTATTTGGCAATGTGTTTGGTTTCTTAATTACAATGATTCTTGTGAGAATGAAAACGAATCCACATAACACAAGTTTGGCTATTGATAGTTACATTATTGGATATCAATGCTCTCAGGACTTGCAATAATGTTCATTATAAATAAGGAAAATATTTTATTAATTGGATGTATGAGTTTTAACATATTGATAAATTGTTGTCTAAACACTTAAAGATGACTTAATTTTTTTTAAGAAAAAAAGATGTATCAATATATTAGTTTTATATACTATCATTACATCTATCATCAATCACATTCATATTTAATTATCATTGACTCTTTAAAAAATTATACAAATGAGTAGTAATTGTGTATAAATTTCATACTCATAGTGAATAGATATTACACTCTTTTTTAAAAAAGAAAGTAAAATCTTATTGTGTATATAATATTGTTGTTATGAGAAGCAAAACCATGTTAGGTTGCTTAAAGCAAATGATTTTAGTTGAGTTGTGATTAACATAACTTCTAGCTATTAACTATATTTCTTTTCATACTCACTCCTAACTTTTGTATAATTGACATCTAAGAATGAACAATGTTTCCTTTGAGTTAAAAGTTTATCGTTAATATAACTATTAAGTTACTCGTGCATATGCATGGAGCGGTATTTTTTGTCATATGATCAATAACACACGTGTTACTCATACATTCACATGGTTAAAAATACACATGTTACTTATATATTTATATGGTTAAAAATACGTATGTTACATGTGAATTCGTATTGTTAAGAATAAACATATGACTCATATATTTTAATAGTTAAAAACACATATGTTACTCGTAAATGAAATGAATGGAGTAGAGAGAAAATGACTAAAATATTCCCAACAATATTAAATATATACATATAGAAATATATCATACAATTTACATTACAATGATATTATTAAAAAATCATTATATAATGACAAAGTTGCCCTTGAAAAATCCAAGTGTCAAACATAGAGTATTCCTCTTAGTAATTACCATTTCCTCTTAGATGATGGAGGTGTTTGAGAGGAAATGAAAAAACTTAGATAATTAATTGATTTGAAGTTTTTTTATATAGATTTAATACAATGTGTAAGGGTACATAATAAGAATATGGACTAATTTTGGAGGCAAAAAAAATCAAAGAGAAGTTGACATGTGTCCATAATGATGTGGCAAGAATCTTTTTTTTCTTATATATAATAGACTATAGCATTAATAAGATGAATGAAGGATTAGGAGAAAGAAGGTTTATATAGAAATTGATATTTTTTTATTGAAGCAATCACGTTTGAGTTGGGAACATCCAAAATATAATATGGTTAGAGAGATTTTCTTTATGTAAATACTTAGCTTAAACTTGAATCTTACTTAAAGAAAATGAAATGTGGGTCAGTTAAATCACCAAGAGAGCAATCAACACTACTTAATAATATTGAATGATAGACAACAAATATTTGAGGTTGCCCCAAATACTTAAATGCATGAAATCAAAAGGAAGTTGAATATGATAATTAACTTACAAGACTCTCACACATAATAAATTAGGTAGTCTTTTTTTTATTTACTAAGTTATGAAAAGTTATATACTTAATAGGATACAAATTAAGAATTAAACCAAAACTATATTTTCAGGTATCAAAATCAAACTACCTTATATTATCATGACCAAAACAAAATATAAAACTTAGCACAAGCGTGTCTATAAATGCTTTAAAGGTAGGAAAATAAGATACCAAAAGCAAGGAATTTAAGAACCCAAATTTGAGAGAGTAATCCATGCCTTCCCAACGTGATCAAGGTTCTATGCTTTTCAAAAGAAGGTTGATCACTGGTCAAAATGGCAACACACACCCCTTAATCTGGCTATTAGCATTTATCTGCATAATCTTAGCTATAGCAGTGATAGTTACAGGTATAACAGTGTTTGTAGGGTTCCTTATCATTCACCCTAGGGTACCTACAATAAGCATAGCCCATGCTCATCTTGACCTCTTCAGAAATGACTATGCTGGGTTGCTTCAAACCCAAATCACAATTCTTGTGGTGGCACAGAATGGAAATGCTATGGCTAATGCAACTTTCTCTGACATAAGATTCAATATAAGTTACCAAAGCCATGACATAGCTATTCTTGTAGCTAACCGTTTTGAGGTTCCAAAGAACAGTTCAAAGTACCTCAACTATGTTGTTCAGGCATCATCTATACCCTTTAACCCTGATCAAATGGGGAATGTGGGTTACTCATGGAAGAGGAATATTGTAGCTTTTGATTTAAAGGGAAATGCTAGGGCACAGTGGAAAGTAGGGCCTATAGGTTCTTTTAAGTTCCGGTGCCATGTTGAGTGTACAATCAAGTTTCACCCCTTGAATGGGAGTTACATTCCCTCCAAATCATGCACCTCCAAATCAAAATGATATTGTTTCTTTCTTCAATTTTGTTTGGTTATGTTATTACACAGAATTGGATAAATAGTCTAGTACATATTTTCGCCTCCATAGGTAGTTCATGTTCAACTTCCAATATCTTTTCTATGTTTCTTCATGACATAGATTATTACATTTTCATGGGATAAATTAGGTACAATAATGATCTTAGAAATGAGGGACAACACATGGAAAAAAAAATGATTGTCTCCTGTTTGATTTGGAGTAGGATCTTCTCCGTTAATGGAGAGTGAAGTGATATTATTTTAATATTTAGTTTGAGGATGGAAATGTCATTACATGTGTAAATAGAATGATATAATTGTCTTTTCATTTCAATTTTATCTTGTTTTACACATTACTTGTCTCTTTGTTAATAAACTTTAGTATTGGACAAATAATCTCAGACAATATAAGACCAATAGATTAGATGTGCATCAAGTTATCTTTTTCAAGAACCAGTATATTTGTTGTGTGAGTGGCCATTTGTGTGCTAGCTTCTCCAAGCAAGTATTAATTCAGCAAACTTAACAAAATACGGGAGGAAACCAAACTATAATCACTTTGATTTCAAAGGTAGAAAGTGCTGATAATCCTATGTAACATATGCTATAAAAAACTAGTTATAAGTCAATAACATGAAATAATATGTATAAGATAATAATGTGTAATATATACTTATTAGTTTTGATATTATAAGCACAGAAAGAAAATCAAATCATGATATTATAACTGATTAAACTCAAGTTTATATCTATTTATAAGTGGACAAATCAAATCATGATTGCTTAACCAACTAATGAGAGAAATAACTATGCAGTAATCATCAGAAAGAAAAAGGCACCCAATAATATCATATGTCATATTTTATGACTAAAAGAAATAGTAGGAAAATTTAACATTTTCTTTAACATAATATAATGGTCACATTGGTGAAATCATCACTCGGATCTCACCTAACACATTGACTAGATAGAACACACCTACCATGAGGGAATATAATATATACAAGCAATAAATATATATAGGTAGTATAAAACAAGCATATATCTACTTTTGTGAAATATAATTCTAATTTAGTACTAGTCAGGTCTTATATATAAGTCACTTTTAGTCAAACTATAGATATTAATACAAGTAATTATTTCTCTTATTTTTAAATATAATAAAACTATAGTCTTAATCCCCTAATCATTTAAGTAAGAAAAAAAACAATAAATATTATAAATGACGATTCTCTCTTATATTTCAAATGTCATTGTCAAACTGCTCCGATTAAAATGAGAATAATTAGTCATTTAACTCGGTCAAACAAAATAAATAAATTACATTTCACAAAAAAAAAGTTTGAAGTAACAAATATTTATAAAAAAAATTAAAAAAACATTTTCTGAGATTTAACAGAGTGAAACACATGTTAATAGATAAAGCGTATAGAAGTGAAGTAAACACGTTGCAGTGGCAGAACACGCGCACGTGTATCCACGTACTTCACTCTAATGGCATTCCTTGTAATTTCCTCCAAATCTATGACCAATTCCAAGCATCTCCCTCCGTCCCTTTTTCTTTCTTTATTAAAAAAACCACAAGTATTGCATCACAACGACAAACGGGAGAGATCACATGTCTCAACTTCTTATATTAGACTAATTCCAAACATCTTACTACTTATATCAAATTAACTAAAATGTTACTCTTTTTTTTCTTTCTAAAATTTTATTTTATTCATGTAGCAACAATTTAATTGGTTTTATACATGGAGTGTGACAGCGTATGAAACAAGTGATTTGTACAACCGACCTCATTTAACATGTGTTTGACTACTTGTATAATACACTACTAATCTCAAAACAACTAAAAGATAATAAAATGTTTCATTTAGGGATGGCAACAGGCACGGGCGGGCACGAGTAGTGTATACCCTTGCCCATACTCGTATTATTTATGGGTACCCTACGAGTTTTTAATTTTAATTATATTTTACAATAATTAATCTATAAAAATAATTTTTAATTAAATAATATGACATGTATATTATTATTTTATGATTATACTCTCATCACTAAATTTTATTATGAAGTAATAATAAAATAAACAAATATAATGTTAAATTAATAATAATTTAGTATAAATTATTTAATTAAAATATATACGCGAGACGAAAATCATAATACCCGTTCTCACATATAAACTAATTTTACAGATATTCATTATAGATAATTTGACGAATAACTATAAATCTGAGTATTTTTGTCACTCCTAATTTCATTACAGGAGAGACAATTAATTTGATGATGGCCACACACTCATCATAAGGGTGAGAAGATAGCTGGGTAGTAGGGGGAAAAAACCTGCATCATTTAGAACACGTAGTTGCCACGTGTCTAAATCACCTTCGTCTATCATCGGTATAAATAACCCCTCGCTATCGTAATCTTAACGTCGTTCGTGAGATTTGGGTTTATCGTAGAGTTTCGCTTCGTTTCGTGCTTTCTCTGGGATCGATGAAAGAGCGAGAGTTGATATTCTCATCGTGCGGTCTCTAATTCGCTTGGTGCAGGTCGGGAACCGACGCTGCTGTTACTGCCGTTTAATGAATGGGGCGGTGGTTGCCGGTGGCGAATTGGTTCCCGCCTTGCATCAACTGAATCGGAGGCTGCCGTTGTTTTCCGGCGACAGATCTCTGCTCCAAGTTTCTAATACCAGTAACTTTTATTGCTTTTCTTAATTCCTGTCAATCAGATCCGATTGAACTTTTTATAGATTTAGCGATTTGTCTGGTTTAGTAGATTCTTGGCTATATGTGGAAATCGTAATTAATGGTTATAGATCCTGATGATGCATGATATCTGAGTCTTGATCTTGATTGTTTCTGTTTACTTTGGGATTGATTTGAAACTTTGTTGCATAAAGCACGACTTCAACATATCCAAATGCTTTGATCAGAAGTACCAATTAATTTTTTTTCTATCTAAAATCAAGTGAAGGCAAGTGAAATTGAATCCTCGTATGTGTTTCCTATTATCAGAGAGAAAACGATAATTAACTATGTAAGGCCTATCGTTATTTCTGTAGCTTTTGTCTCTTAAGAAACATGAGATACAAACCTGAGAGGATCCAAATTCTGCGATCCCTTAAGAGAAATCTACAGTGTTATGATTAAATATCAGCTACCCGTTTCACATTATGAATTTATGATGTATTCCATGCTGTATTGCTGATGGCATACTCTGTTGAACTAGAAGGTTCTGACATTGTATAGTAATGATCTGATCTTAGTTTTAAATGTGTGGTCAAATTAGATTCTGTGCTATTGTCGTATGATAAGGACTCTCTGGAAACTGTTATTATTTTCTATGACGGTGGGGGTGTCAAGGATGTGATCATTCAGTTTTTGAGTTCATTTTTTCTCTGTCTTGCCAGTTATGGTGCATTAATATTAGAATAATTTATTTTTAAATTAGAGCTTAGACCAATCTTAGAATAATTGATGTCTTTATTTGGTAGCATTAACATTAGAATAATTTGTTTTAAAATTATTTTCTGATTGGAACTCAAACTCAAAAGTGCTTGGAGAGTGTAGACATGAATTTCTGAAGAGCGGGTTGTTTCCTTTTGTGTATATAAGGTGATTATTCTCTGTAACGGTACTTTTCAGTGCTTTTCATATTATTCTGAAAATGAGTTCATAGTATGCAGCATGCCTGAATATTTGTATGCATGAAAATTTTAATTTTGTGTGTGAAAGAAAGCTAAGAGTTGGTTCTATGCAAGACTGTTTGTTGTTTACTTGATCTTATAGGTAAGAATGTAATATGCTTGTGGAAACAGTAATATTTGGGTGTAAGCAGAGAAATGCTATTCTTCATCCTAAATACCTGCCTCTTGGCACAAGCGATTTTCTTTCTAGGAATTCTTCAATAAGACGGGCTATGAGCTATTAACACTGACATACAAGAATAGTAGATTTCTTCCTTTGAATTGATGATTTTACACAAATCTGAAACAGCTTAATGTTTTCATCTTTTCTTTATGAAAATAAATAGGAAATGGCCTATTTGGTCCAATGTGCTGCTTCTGCTTCTCTATGCTTATGTAAGTTGGTGAAAGAATTGTAAGTATCTATGATGTCAAACTAGAGTGCATATTGTTGGGAATTTTAAGTGCCAATGGGATTGAAGTCCCTCTCCCTCCTTGGAAAGAAACTTTTCCTTTCAAGTTTCTATGAGTGGAAAAGGTTTATGGACTACATTATCTTAAGATTTAAGGTCATGAAAATATGAATCTACTGATGTGACCTTTGATTAATCCACCTTTGGTATTTTGCACTCTCAAGATCATAAAATGTATCCTAATAGAGCAAATTGGCTCTCCTGGAGTTCAGTAGGGGAAGTGATATGATTTATTCGTTGGGAATAATCCTCGGGTGCTTCATCAATTGAGACATACTTGATGCTGCTCTGAAAGTTTTGCTATGTTATGGAATTTGACAAATTTGAGAAATTGATATAGGTTCTGTACTACATTTTCCAAGGACTCAACTGGCAAAAGTTATGTCGGGGTTGCATTTTTTCGTAGTCTCAAATGTGAATTCTTGAGCCAGTTTTGTAGACTAATGTTTTTTTTACTCCATTCTCATTCCCTCTCCTTATGATCGTGGCTGACTTTTACTAGTTAGGTAGTATCGGATTTCGGGTTACTTGAAAGGTGAAATGCCTTCATTTTTAATAATACTTAATAAAATATTAGCTATAAACCCATTTTTCTGTCTTGTGTCTCCCACTTTTAATCATACTATACAATGTTCAATGCAGTGATTTTTTTTTTCTTTCCTATCTACCTTTATCCACGCCTCCACGGTCACACCAGATCCAGGCCACCATCTTTGTGTGTGGATACGCTTTATATAATTTCTGTCTCATGCACTAAAACGACGAATAACTACATTCAGTCTCATGGACCAAAATTGGTATTCATTCTAAAACATTCTAAAAGAATTGGGTGGGAGAGTTTAAAATTATATCTAGCACAGGTTGCCATCATGATTGGAGAACAGGAACCAGACAGTAAAAAGTAGACTAGGAAAACAAACCTAAGGTTGCCATCATGATTGAAGAACAGGAACCAGACAGTAAAAAGTAGACTAGGAAAACAAACCTAGTTGTACAAATGATTGTTGTAGTCTACTTGTTCTTTCAGGTGAGGTAGGAGTCAGTCAGAAATTACTACCATTACTACTTTTTCTACATCAATAAACTTGTCAACTTTTCTTCTATTCCTACACTGCTAATATGTTTATTTTCTCCCTTTGAAAAGTGAAAAGGATATCACACATTCAAACGCATGCACAAATGTTACACTTGTTGTTTCAGTCAAAGATGCTGCAATATCACGAAAGAAGAAAAGGCATCATTTAGCTGATACTTTTGTGGGGCAAAAGAAAAGGATGTTGGATGTACCATGAACACCTTTTCTGAAACATGTTCATAAAGTTCCTCATTAAAACAATAGTCCCTCTCTTTCACCTGGTGATGGAAGCAGAGGGAGCTACTAGTTCAGTCTATTTCTACAATGGCTTCATGTTTATTCAGTAATTGGAGTGAATAATCATTGACAACAATGATGAATGCTAGCAGAAAATAAATGAATTTCTAATAGTCACACATCACTGTATGTGGGGATACTTTAGAGGAGATGCTGATCAACAAATTGTCACTTTAGTTCTTCCTTGACAATGAATCAGATACACAGATGTCACCGCGACATAGTGGGCATACCCTGTTTATAATAATAATAATAATATGAAGAAACAGTTAGATATATATATATACATATATATATATATATATATATATATATTTCAAAACATCATCATTAGCACAAGTGGAGTTCCATATAAAGCAGCTAGTACACAATTATTGCATAAATAGAGGACAGCAGCATGGAGCATCATGGCATATATAGCTCAGTAAAATTTTTACAGAAGGGATCTCTTAAAGTTGTTAATATGAAATTAGCAAATATTTTAAGGGGCTTGACTGCAGGCTGATAATCTCCAGAAAATTGGGAAGATGGCCATATAAGAGATGGCACATCATTCTCAGTTTTGCTAATGTCTAACCCTTACCTTACCAGCATATACTTTTGCAAATATTTAGTTTTACCAACACTACACTTACTATTTTTTAGAGTATCTTTACATAAAATGCAAAATTCACTAATCTATGTTCTTTATTCTTCTTTGCCACCTACTACAAAGGTTCCAAAGCCCCAATATGGTTTAATACTTACAGAAGTAAATTGGCAGGACTAACTTTATTAACCATATAGTTAACCAAAAGACTCAAATAGTGAAATCCTTATACCCTATTCCTGTGTACCTGTGAATCTCCTTCAGCCACTTGTCTATACATGTTCTATGAAATTCGTGACGACAAGGCAGTACTCGCATGCTGTCTCCATCCTCATACTCGGCAAGGCATATATAACATCTGTGAAATTAAGATATTAACAAAGGTAAACCTCAAGGGAATAGTTACATGGGTCTTTTCACTTATAAACTTTTTCACTCATCTCATCCTATCCAATATGGAACTTCACAGTTGAATATACTCAACAAAGACAAATGATACTAACACAATAAGAGGCTAATGAGTAATGAGAATCTCAACAAGTACATATGAATCCATATCACAAATCCTGAAAACTTGGAGCTAATATGCTACAAGTGCAACATATTAACAAAAGGAAATGCAAGCAAGGGAAGAGAAAAACCCTATGAAAGCATTTTATAAATGAACACCAAGTGGTGGCTAAACCTGAATACTTACTGTACAGCATCTTCTTGATATTTGTTCAACTTTGTGTATAATTTAACAGGCAAGGATTCCACAACTTCATTCGGCGCAGGAACAGATCCAATAGAAGACACGGATGGGCGAGAAGATGATACCGCAGGTTGCTGCTGAATTTCATCCACGACCTAATTAGAATATGCACAATTATTCAACTTGTATAAATATATAATGAAAGGCAAACTGTATAGTTATGGCCTCACTAGCTTACCTCAAATAAAGCTTCAGCTAACATAACAATTCTTGATATACTAGCTCTAGCATTGGTATCATCATTTGAATTGGTACTACGTTCATGACTGCTGATTCGGCATGTGCAACGACCATTTCTAAGTTGACCGGACAAGATGCATGATCTTTCATGTCCAGAAAGATTTTCAAACCGGCTACCCAACCTCTGAAGAGCACGAACCTAAACCAATTTAAATGTAGATGATTAAATTTAGCGGCATGAGAAAAGAGATCCTGTACAGATGTTAACAAAATCGTTACTATGCTACATGTAGCTGTGCCACATTAGTTTGAGATGTTTTATTCCCTATTATAAGGTTATGCTTCTTGTAAGGTAATATACTACAAAACCATCATTTATCACTCAAAATTTACAAAATCTACTAACCCGTGACCGCATTCTTCTTCTCCGTTCAAGGAAATTGGATCTATGTTCCAGTAGATCCTGATACCTAGTTTCTCTTGATTGTGAAGTCTCGACCTCATACTCTTGGAAGGTAAGCGAGGAGCTAGACGTAGTAGATGGAGGATATGCAGATGTGAAAGGAGAACTTACAGCATTAGGATCAGATGGTGACACTA